GCGGGCCCTGCCCTCAGAGCCCACAGCCTGAGGGGCGGCGCCGCCTTGGCCTGCTCAGCCGAGGGAGTCCGGAGCTTCGATTTTCGCCTGTAAACGCTGTTTCTTCTCCCCGCAGCTCCCGGGGCCATGTGGAGCACGGCGGCTCTGCGCCCCCTTGGCAGGCTGCGGCCCGGCGCCGCGCCTCCGCCGCCCCCAGGGTTACAGCCCCCAAATCACGGTTTTGAACGAAAGTATAAGGCCTTGTGTCACGGGAAACTGCCAGCACACGAACCGCAGAATCGGGGGTTGGAGAGGACACGAGACGTGCTTCCCTGCCGCTTAGGAAGTAAGCAAGCAAAAGGCAGGCGGTGGGCCAAAACTTACCCAGTTTTAGATGGACGCATCCTGTCCGTGCATCGACACGTGTTTGAAGAAAATGTAAGGAACAGTGAGGCTGTTATTAAAAGGTAATAAAACTGTTTTGGTGGTGATTTAAAAAGTGCTGCTGCTTGTGAGATGATGTGAGAGTTACTTAGGGGCATTCTAAGGAGCTTTTTAACGCCGGAAGAATGCTAATGAAATACCCAGAGATTTAAAAAAAAAAAATTAAGAGTAGGCTTTTCCACCTCAACATTTTGAAGCTTAAACTCGTTTCCTGGCTGTTCTTTTCTCGGGCAGCTTCTCTGCAGAGTGAATTTTACAAGGATCAGCCCTTAAAAATTTCATCTCCCCCAAAGAGGTGCCTAAATGTTGACTTAAGCGGCTAAATCTAGGTGCAGGCTCTATTTAAAATAGTGCCATGTGACGTCGTGCTGCATATATTGCCAAGAAGTATTTTTTTTTTCTAGACCTCCGTAAACTTTTGTTCAGTTTTGAATGCGAGGACATAAATAGTGACTTGCATTTACAGATCCCTCCCAGAACAGTAGGCAACGGTCATTGCAATTAATTGTGATTCACTGATAAAAGCAGGAAAATTTATTTTGTGTGTTTGTCCTTAAAGATCAGATGGCGAAAATTCAGGCGCCTTTGTTCACTGGAATGATACATGAAAGCTACGGAAAACACACTGTGCCCTCCTGTGGTGGCATTTACGACATTATTAAAAATCCTTAGCTTTTTTTCTCCTGAGGTTTTTCAATCTCCACAGCCTGCAGGAAGCCACAATAAGATAATGGAGTCACGTACAGAGTGGTGCGTAGTTATGTCAAACAGTACTTTTAGTTAAAGATGATCCATCTTGGCAAAAAAAAAAATTATTTGAAATAAATAAAGAACCTGGTTTATTTAAGACCAGAATTATTTGAGATATCACATTTGTTGACAGTTTATTCAACTCATTATCAGTATTTGATGCTGCCCTGACAATAACATTCAGTCATCCCTTCCTCTCTCTGTGATTGTAGTGACACTGCAGAGTTCACGACGTCTAAAGTCTTATCTTCCCTGATACAGAATATGCTTGAGGCCTCTCAGAAAAACGTGTTGAGGGAAACTGAAAGAAGAAGCCCTTGCCTGGGTTCTTCCCTAGAGTAGTTGGAACAGAGAGGCAAATCTCCATGCTGATTGGGGACTAGCAAATTAGGATGGCCTTATAATGGCTGCGGGTTTATGGGCTGATGTTGTAGGGCAGTATCTCCCACAGGCAGCGCCGGCCGCTGGCAACCAGCCCTGTCGGTGCTCTGCTCCCGGCGCCGCTGGCAGAGATTAGGAAGGATCATATATTGTGACATACTGTGTGTTGGGTGTGTATGGGCAACACCTGGGGGAGGATGGAGGCTTAATAGTGGCTGCTAGCTGTGACCGTAAACTACAGATAGAGTATTTATGTTATTTCACTCTCTTTTTTTGGTCTTTATTAGACAATTTTTGAATAACCAGGCTAAAATGTTTGCTTTAAATAACCTTTGCCTTTTCTTACAGGAAGCAATAATGCAAAACTGTGAATTTATCTTTGTTTTCATACAAAACGGATACAAAAACTGTGCAATACATATAAGTACTATGTTCAGTCTACTAAAGGGTAACTTGTAAGTAAAGTTTTCATTGACTGAAACTTTGTTTTTTAAATCAGATACTCGGAGTTGCTAGAGACAGTCAGTAAAGGAGGGGGAGAAAATGCCATCTTGCATCATACTCAGAGAAACAAGAAGCTGTTTGTTCGTGACCGCCTGAAGTTGCTCCTCGATGATGAGTCTTTCCTGGAGCTGTCCCCGCTGGCAGGCCTGGAGCTGCCCTACGGCCACATCCCTGCCGCAGGCTGCCTGACTGGTAACGGCGGCGCCTCCGCGAGGAGATGGAGCAGGGATGAAGTTTGGTGGTTGCGTCGCTCGTGTCTTTAAATACGATTCATATTCGGTCAAAGATGGATGGGGGTTGAGGGTGTTGTCTTGAGCAGCCCGTTGTTGGAGATGCAGCCCAGAAGGAAGAAGGTTTGAACCACCGCGAGCTTTAGTTAGAGAAGTGCAGTGATGGGCAAGTGCTCGTAGGCCGTGTGTGTTGGTTGTGTGCTGCACACCTTCCCGGAGTAGCCAGCCCTGCTCCCTGGAGATGAGGTGGTGGTTCTTACTGGGAGAGGAAAAGGATGCGTGTAATCAGCTTTATGGAATATTTTAGTATCTTAGGAATGTGCTTTCCTAGGAAAAGTGAACATCAGCTCTATCCATTAGTGCTCCCAACACAGAAGAGTTCAACCACTGGTATATTACTCTTCTGCGATTTGAGCTGGGGGATCTGGGAGAAACCTTTAAAGAAAAAGAATTTATTTCATTTCTTCTGGATTTAGTAATCTATTCCACTTACCAGTTACTGATTTTTGACCCCAGAAATTTAGGATTATGTGTCGGATAAGCTCTTGTCTGTTAAAGGAAAGGGGACCAAGTTACTGTGAGACAGAGGAGCTGTGACATTTATTTTGTCATATTTTTCAAATTATAGACAAGTCCTTTGATTGCATTTTGAAGAGCAGTTCCAGTTTAAAAAGTAGCCAGAAGAATAGAGTATGAAATCCTGTCTTTTGTCACAGATTGTTACGTTTTTCAGTTTTATACAGGCAATTTTTAACTACCTTCCCTGTTATCTCAAGAGTTGGAAGTCGAACCGTGTATTTTTTCCCTCTTAGATTGTCACCAGGAGGAAGTTTGTTTCAAGTTCTGTCTTCTGTCATTTAGATTTTTTTTTAAATGTCATTGTCTTTCAGCTTGTTATTCCAGAGGAGAGCAATAGACTTCTTCCCCGTGTCATATTTGCAAGTTAATTTGCGGCTTCTTGATACAGTATTACCAAAACAACATCCTGGCTATAGTTTGGCCCCCTTGTTTCATCTATGGTGTTTCAGAGAGTCCTGATAAGTATCTGTGGTACCACTTACAGGAATTGGCAAAATCTGTGGGGTCTGGTGTGTCTTCATGGCAAATGATGCAACTGTGAAAGGAGGAACTGTTTATCCAATTGGAGTGAAGAAACAATTAAGAGCTCAAGAAATAGCCATGCAGAACAGACTGCTCTCTGTGTACCTTGTTGACAGCGGGGGAGCATTCCTGCCACTACAGGTAATGCTGGCACCACTTCATCGAAGAAAATACCTGTGATGATCTTAATTATAGTAACTTTTAGCAATAAACCTCAGATTTATGTTGTGTTTTCTTGGCTGGCTGACTTCCATTGTCTGTTGTACTTCAGGTGAGTTTTGTCCACAAACCAGAGCGCAGGAGATTATTTGAAGATTTGTAACAGGGGTGATGAGTTTGTGTCTAGCATCTGAATGAATTTGGAAACTTGAATACCAGTGTGGGGACAAAGGCCTGACCAAGGATGGATATTCCTCAGTGCGCTGAAATGCTTCGGTGTCTTTAATAAATTAGTACATTGTTTGAGGCTTCTATTTTCAACATCAGAATCTATAAAACCACTGTGTGTTTTATGGTAACGTTTGTGATAGTAATGCAGTAGCCTCCGTGATGTAGTTTTAAAGATTCTTACTGTAAAAGGAGAATTTGCACAGGTGACTTTGCAATGTACAGAGGTGATATTATCACAGCGACTACAGCTGTTCCTTCTCCAGGCTTGAAAGCAAACTGAAAAAGTTTTTACCCGACTTAAGAAATTGCATCAAAAACTAAGTAAAAAGGGAAACTGCTGAAGTCATTTCACAGATAAATTATGAACATGAGCTTCCCCTTCTCCATGTTTACAGTCTCAGCTTGTGTAGAAATGAAACTTGTTTCTGCTGTCAAAACACGTTGGGTATTTTTGTGGAGTTGCACAATGTGTAAAGGGGAATAAATACCAGAGCGAAGGCTGTGTATGAAAATTTCAGGTGTGATTGTTAGTGGCGACCTTCCCGGAGTCGGTTACAAGGCGTTTGTGAGTGAATGAAGAGGAGGAAGTGTTGGCTTTTGCAGTTCGTACTGAAACTGTCTTTTCTCTGTCATGCCAGTCAGAGCTGTTTCCTGACAAGTCGCACGGTGGCAGGATTTTCTACAACGAAGCGATAATGTCTGCCATGAGGATCCCTCAGGTAGGTGTCAGTCGGAGTACCAGCCGGTGGAGTGTCGGTGAGGGGTTCTGAAAAATGCTTTGTTCTCACACGGATTCTAGGAACAACTCCCAAACGTGCAAAAAAAATGCCTAAAGCTCACCTTTTCTGCTTGTGGGGAAGGGAGATGTGAATCGTATCTCACATAACAATACTTGAGCCTCGAGGCTCTAAGTGTTCACTGACTGATCATGGTGGGAAAGCATCAATCAGATCACTGGGTTATTTCAGCATAAATGCTGAACTCTCTCAGAACCAGCACTGCTGTTCATGCTGGTATTTCTCTCTCCAGTTCATTGTTTCCCAAGCTGCGATTCAGTCTCTTGAATGTTTCTGAAATAAATGTAACGGTTTTGCCTTTCCATTCTCCTCTCCCCAGCACCCTGATTTGTTCTGGTTTCCGTGCCCTTCAGGTGGCAGTGGTGTGTGGCTCCTGCGTAGCCGGAGGTGCCTATGTGCCAACCATGGCAGAAGAAGCTGTGATTGTAGATAAAATCGGTACGCTCTTCCTGGCTGGCCCTCCGCTGGTAAAAGCTGCTACAGGAGAGTTTGTCTCTCCTGAGGACCTAGGAGGAGCTAAACTTCACTCTGAGTACGTGAAATAAGTCAAAAATAGCAGAAATTTCAGCATACTGTCATTTAAAGAAACTCTCATTTTATCTTAATGAGTGACTGAAGCTGCTCCAGTGTGACAGGATACGATATGGTCCTCAAGGACCAAGAAACATGCAGTGAAAAAAAAAAAACCAGTAGAAATGATACAGGAATTATTACAAGGGTTGGTGGTATTCAGTTATATATGTGGGAGTACCATGGGGCTAGATATAACTCTTTGAAATGAAAAAAGCAACGTGGCATTGTAATTTCAGCTTTACTACTCTCCACAGGAACTTTCCACTTCCACCGTGTGTGTGTATATATATATATATACACACGCACTCTGATAGAGATCTCACATAAGTACAGAGGTCAGGATCAGGGCCAAAAGTAGAACCTGTTATTATGCTGTTTGCTTTCCTTCCTGGGGACAGGGTTGGGGTTTTTTTGTTAGATCAGCTTAATGGAAGTAAAATTAAGTGATGTTCATGGGGAGAAGCGGGAATTGGACAAACGTGGTTTTGGTTCCCCGTTTTTCCCCATACTCTTTGAATGACTTCAGGCAGGTCAGTTCCTCTGTGCCTCGGAGGGACCAGCTGTAGAAGAGGGACGGTCTCGCTTTTTTTCCTAATGTAGACATCGTCAGGATACATACATTAAAAAAAACAATTGTGAGTGTTCAGATACTGCGATGATGGGGAAAATGGGTAAGAAATTTGTTTTTCTTCCCTCGACTGATGAGTGGAGAGGTGTTATGGCTTCTTTCCATTTGTCTTCTCTGCTTCTGAAGACACCAGACTGACTTGCTGCAGAGAAGAGCCTGAATGCTTGTGAAAGTACCTGAAGCAGAGAAGAAAAATGGAAAGCCTGCCTGCCTCTGCTGTTAATGAGGGCTTCATAGCAGGAGATGAACAAACAGGAAATAAAGCTGATAGTAGCTATCTAACCAGTGCTTTAATGCTGTTTTTCTGTGTCAGAAATTGCTGTAGTTGTCAGAATAGTTATTCCCTTCTAGGTGGGGAAAGCGGGTGGTTTTGCTTCTTTGTTCTTGGCATTCTGTGCTGTGTGGATGGGAACCAGATCCTTACCTTTCTCACAAAAACAAATGCTAGTGTGGCAGTCGGATAACCACATTACATGTAGTAGGTTATTGTCCATATCCAGTGAATTTGGTTTGGGGTTGGACTGCACAGAAATTCCACTGACGTACTGCTTTCAACTCAGCCATACCAGAAGAGAACGAGGCAATATTCTCGCGGCGTTTGGAGAGTCACAGTGTGCGTTAAGGTTTTTCCTTTAGTTTGTTTTTTTTCCTATCGGAATTCAGATTTCATTAATTCAGTACGAATTAATGTTGCTTTCTCTCCTAGGGTCAGTGGCTGTAGTGACCATTTTGCGTCTTCAGAAAAGGAAGCTTATGAATGTATTCGAAATGTTATCTCCACGTTAAATTACGACCCACTGCCAGAGGAGGTCACAGAGCATGACAGTCCTCTGTACAGTTCTGATGAGCTCCTGGGCCTGGCCCCGCGAGATTACAGGTGTTCTCTTCCTGTAAAGCTGGTAAGGTGACAGATACCGCATGCCTGCGTCCTTCCAGTCCCCTCTGGCCAGTAGCTCCAGATTAACAGGCAACAGGCTGTTTGCTCTTGGAGAATCCTGAAGTCTGAGATACTCCGTATCATTACCTAATCAGCTGCTAAACTGTCTCGAGTCCGCAACAAAGCAGAATGGCAACAATTCTGTAGAATTATAGAAAATATTTTAAGCTGAAAACCTGCTAGAGATAATTACAGATTATGCCAGCTGATCCCCATCTGTTTCCAGGCACTGTTTGAGATGCTGTTATGTCAGTATGCTTGTACTGAGTTGGCTGCCTTGAGAACGTGCACCCCTTAGTGTCCTGTTTCCCCCTCCCCCTGCCTTTTTTTTTTTTTTTCCCACCCAGGTAGTCAGGACTCTACCTTGTAGCTTAAATGTCTAATGAAAATACTGCCTGAAAAACAACAAAGCTCAAATTAAGCTTGTTTGAGGCTGGGACAGACACTAATACACAAGAAGAGCCCAGCAGAGCTGTCCACACTTTTTTCTTTGTGTTGTTCTAGAAGAGATTTAGTCTCCAAGGGTGTGAATCCAGTACCTTTTCCAGGGGTAAATTCCTACAGTTAAGGGGACTGACTGTGGAAAGCAGCGTAGCTTTGAAGGCAGCTTTTAAACTGTGTTGGAAAAAACCATGAGCAATATGCTGCCGAATGTTTCTTATGTACACAAACTCTGGGGTTTTTACAACATTTTAATGTACATGAACAACTGTGCTCTGTAACACTGAAATAATTTTGGAGTTGAACTTTGGCTCGGAACACACGGTTGGTGCTGAAACGTAAACACAAATTTGATATTTTCTGCATATTGAGTATTTAGCAGAGTGTAAGACATAAAAAGGGCCTTCTATGCTCATTTAGGTTGACTCCTTGTGCTATAGAGGTCTCGTTACTATTTGAACAGAGCGTATCTTTTAGCAGAACTATCCTGTTTTCACTTCAATTTCTGTAGTAAGGACTGTGCATCTTTGCAGATTCTGAGCCGTCTGATGGATGGAAGTAGATTCCAGGAATTCAAGGCCAATTACGGAACAACATTAGTAACGGGCTTCGGCCACGTGCAAGGGTAAGGCTAGAACAGGTCACTATCAAAATTTGTCTAAACAGCTTTCATATCATCATCAGGTTTTACAGTATTCCAATAGCAAGGTTTATGAAGTTCTGAGTCAAGAATTGGTAATGAAATTCTTCTAGAAAGCCTGATCTTCTGCCTCTGAGCTCCGAGTTCACCGCGGCTCAGGCCAACAGCAGCGGAGAGTGATTATAAATGGATGGTTTCCGTGGCTTTGTGAAATGATGTGTTTGTTCACAAAAACTACTAGCCAGACAGTTGGAACACTGAAGTCTCCACAGGTTCCTTAAGAAATAAGAAACAGCATCTTTAGAAGTGTTCCCTCCCAAACTGAGTGGAAAGCTAGTGTCCTCTCATGGGATGGAGATGGGATAATGCCCATAGAGGAAACCTTGCATAATTCAGATCAGACTGTGGTATTAACACATTCATGAAGCACAGAACATTCCAGTCAAAGCATATGAAAAATAATAAGGTGGTAGAATATATTTTTAGAGCCTCTTCAGGCTTAAAGTATAAACTTTTCAGATTGTTACGTTGTTTGTTACAGGCATTAGAGAGGGGCCAGAGTCCTGGCACCTCGTACCTTGTCTTGCAGTGTAAAATCTGATGCTTACCTGCCCTCTGGGTATGAATCCGAGGTCATACTTCTGTGCTTTACGTACCAGGAGTGCTGTGAGACTTGTTGTTGTTAGGTGCGTGAGGTCCTTGAGTGAAATGCCACAGTACGTGCACCCTCGCACGTGCTGCATTTCTGTAAAGGGCAGATGTGTGTGAGCTACATACTCATAATTTCTAGGTTCAAAAGTGAAAATGTTCACGTGTCTTGTAGGCACTTGGTGGGGATAGTGGCTAACAATGGCGAGCTGACTCATGATGCTTCTCTCAAGGGCAGCCACTTCGTACAGCTGTGCAGCCAGCGGAGCATTCCCATTCTCTTTTTCCAAAATACTGCTCCACATACGGCAGAGCCAACGAGCATCTCACAGGTACAGCCGTTCTAGTTCAGTATGTTTACTTCAAGCAGTTCCTAGTTCTTGTTGTATTTAAGGTTACGTTTTGAAAAATATTGTTAGGAAGATTACTTTTTTCAACCACTCTCGATGGTTCAAACCATCATGATTACTTTGTTCTTAAATCTTTCCATTAGCATTCTCACTTTATTCTAATATTAAGCAGGCCTGTATGTTTATCTAAAATGGCACTGTCCAGCTGGCAATGCAAGCTGTAAAACTTGGAATTTGTAGTGCTTTTTACATGGAAATACAGCCTATTGATTCTCCTGGTACCGCTGCACTCCACAGAAAGAGAGATATTTCTCTTTTAGAAGAGTGAAGGCATTAAAGTACAGCATGTGTTGTCCTGGGCTACAGAGAGCCTCACAGTAAAACCTGCATTAGATTTTCTGATCTCTTTCTGCAGCCCTGTTCCTCCCAGCTGTCAGCAGCTCTTAAGACAAAGCCTGGCATAATTGTGTCGTATCTGAGCTTTGCTAAAGCCTGGGAGAGCTCGGCCTGCGCAGCAGCATAGGTTTGTGCGCACTGGTTATAATGGTTGTGCTGATTTACATGGTAAAGTGAGTGTGTAATGGGCTGTGGTAGTTAATGATGCTGTCTTACTGTTGTGGAAGAAATGATTGTACAGAACTGTGAAGAAATAAATGTTCTAGAAAATTAAGTTTGGTGAGAGTGGAGGGAATCCAGAGGAAAGGCTTCGAGGATCTGAAATCTTGATTTTCGTTTCAGGCAGAGGCTCAGTCCCACAGATTAAAAGCCCAGGCCTCCATGATGGCTGCTGTGGCCTGTGCTGCCGTTCCGAAAATCACCGTTGTGCTTGGTGGCTGCTATGGGAGCGAAAGTTACGTTATGGTACGGGAGGCATCAACCGAATGGGTTTGCTAATTGACCTTTTACATCTCACAGCACTTCACTTCTAAAACACAGCCGGCTGTTGTTACAGTGAACTCCATCCGTTATTTTAACTACTTCCAAAGAAATGCAGCACAAGATGCGATTACCAACAATTTGGTCTGCATCTACGAATCTAGAACCAGTCCTAAAAACCAGGTTATCTGAAAACGTCCCTTCTCGGGAGCAATTCCTCCTTTTTCTCAACACGTTTCGGGCGATGAAGGAGCATGTCTCCTTCAGTCGTGGCACTGTGTGGGGTTCAGGCTGTGTCTGGCGAGGGCAGTAGGGCTCTTTGTTCACTCAGAATTAAACGTGTGAGTGCTTGGAGGAAAAAGGAAATAATAACACTGAATAATAGCAATACTGATATATTACTGAAATAATAATGATATTTAGCAATACTGAAGGCAGCGGGGATTGGGATGGTCGCTACCACAGGGTGTGAGTGCTGACACAGGAGCTGGAGCTGTCACGGTAAAGGAGCTGTATCGTTAACGCTTCACAAATTAAACCGTGTTACATTCTGCCTTGAACTTGTGTCATCCTACAGCCATCTTTTTTGTGAGTAATTTCAATGAGTTTGTACCGCCCTTTTTTTTTTTTTGTAGTGCGGGAGATCGTTCAGTCCAAACTTTCTGTTCTTGTGGCCTAACGCAAGAGTTGCCCTTGTGGATTCGAGACATTTCTCCACAGTCCCACGAGCTGGGGACAACAACTGTACAGGAGCTGAATCAGAGCTAAAACATCTGAAAGAAAAGTAAGGACACCAAGTATAAACCCTTGCAGTTACGCTGGGATTTAATTAGTTAAATCACCTGCTTTTGTTCCTCTTAAAAATCAATGCATCCCAAACAAGTAAAGCAAACTTGAATCTACTGAAAAATATTTTAAATTCCCATGGAATTTTATGTCTGCTCTTAGGGTCTTCTCAAGGAAACACAAATGTTTGACTTAACCAAACCCCCAAACCGTAGAATCCCAAATTGAGATATTCTGGATTAGTATCTGGCTGTTAAACAGTGGTCATCACCTGCCTCTGGAAGGTGCTCTGCACTGCAGAATGATCAGACCTGTTGGGTATTATTTGCTGGATTCTAATTAATTTTATCAGTAGTACTGCACATTCATTTGAGATTGAATTATATCCCTTTTTCATCTGTTACTTTGTTTTACTGGTCTGATGGTTTTTATTACATTTTTGTGCTTTTAAGCTTCATACTCTGTCTTCTCCAGGCTCGAGGAAGAAAGCAGTGCCTTTTATTCCTCCGCCAGACTCTGGGATGATGGTGTAATTCTACCTCAAGATACTAGAAAGGTGGGTTTTTCCCCTACAATACATTTTATTCTCAGAGCTCAGAAGGATCCTGCAGTAAATGGGTAAGCCTAGGACTCGCTCAGGGTCAGCACGCCGGTCCCCAGAACTGGGTCTCCCACTTCTCACTCCATTTCCCATGGAATTCAGCTTTCTAATTCTCATCTTTTCTCTTCCCCAGTAGTCTATCCAAAAAGTTTCTGTTCAACTCTGGCTACTGGAGTCCAGCATTTCCTCACTGAACCTCTTAATTCACTTTATCATTCGATTCCATATCTGAATCCTTTCTTTTTTCCTCTTGCATCATCCTCCATATCTTCACTCTTTAAGTTCAGGCTCTTCACCGTTCACATTGTTCCCATTATTTTGTCCCAGGATGTTTCTTTTTGCAGCCTCCTCTTCTTGCTGGTAATGTGCTGTTTACATGTGGGATGCCCCCACTGCCTTTTTATTTATTTTTTAAGTTGGCAGACACCCACTCCATTAGGTGCTTTCTGAAAGCTGCCACCTGCGTTCTGTTTCCTTGATTGTTTGATAGCAATACTTAAAATGTTCTTTGCACTTCTGAAGCTTGTTTATTTAAAGGTCACAAACACAGCTTGTTATCAGTTAATCCTTAGGAATATGGTCCATAGTTATGGTACTAAGTAGATGTTAAATATTTTTTGAGAATTTTTTTAATAAATATTTTTCTAAATATTTTCCGTGGCATTTATGGGAACTTTGATAATGGGAGAGCACTGAAGTATTTTCTAGTACTAGAGCCCCAAGACTACCTCTCTCTAGGAACTACACATGAAAAGAAATCACGTGATAGTTGAAATGAATCATTGTTACTCTCAGGTAATTTTCACCAGCACCCCCCATGTTTAGCTGTTTTTTTACTTTCTTTTTTTTTTTTTTTTTTTTTGAATTTATGTTTAGCTTTCTCTGAACTGACAGCATGTGCTCATTCTGATACTTACTGTGCTTTTCTTAAAATAGGCTTTTAAAAGACAGCGTATGTTCCAGTAGCAATGGAAAATGGAGTATTTTCTTGTGTTTAAAAGCCCAAACCAGTTCTATATCTTCAGCCCCTGTTGTCACAAGACACCAAGAATGAGGACTTAAAAAGAGACGAGTGTGGAAGAGCAGGATGTTATGCTCATTTTTGATAAGCAATTGGAATCTTCAGAGCAGAGCTATGTCCTAGCAGAAATGGATGATCACATAATGTATTCTCACTGGTGTTTTACAGCGAAATAGCTTCCCTGTGTTCCAGAAGTAATTCTCTTGTCGGCACCCTGTCTTTAAAATGCTTCAGTGGTGTCTGTATGCAATGGGTGAACTTTGGGAGGCTGAGGACCTTGCTTCTGCTCCCCTTCCCTGCCCCAGTGGCACGTTACACCCACACCCCGTTCACAACTGCTCATTTTACATGTTGATTGTTTTGCAAAAATAAGAGCAAATGCATTACTGAATGAGGGCACAGCTAGGAAGTTTTACTAGTTTGGTTTTTTTTGTTTCAGACGCTCATTGCTTATGTTGGTTTTTTGTTTTTAATTAGGTGATTGCACAGTGCTTAGAGATTGTAGAACAGCAGAAGTACCAGGTCGTGTCTCCGTGTCAGTATCCCATCATCAGGATGTAACAGCAGACGCTTTCAAGTGATCAGCCTTTCAAAGTTAGTATGGGCACTACAAATCCTCAATGTCAGTGATTTTCTAATTCGTTGATACCATTAAAAATGTTAAACCACTACGGACAAACAAGCAGCCTGGATTTTACGTCTATTAACAATAAGTTTGTATTTTGAACTATAGCCTCTTACTACCCAAGTTGAAAATATGTTTTGTGAAAAGGAAGGATTAAGCTGAAAGTCTGGACGACTCTAAGGAAGCAAATTCATCCCAGGTGGTAACAATTGATTGATTATTATTTTTTTTTTTAAATATTCATATTTTAGCCAGAAAGCCAGAACTGCGCTTGAACAAAAGAAACAGGGAAGAAAGGACACACAAGCTAGGGTGTGCAGTTTTCAGCCTCAGAAAAGGCCGAAATGCTGCCTGGCACAGCACCCTGGGGCTGCCAGTCCTGAGTTCCAAGGCCAGATGGGAAGCTGCATTCCGATTGCTCTGAGGATACTAAAGAAGTGACCAGGAGGGGATTTAAATCCATAATACTTCAGATGAGGCTAAAAGTGACCTTTCCTCAACACATGTAACAGAGCACAGAGGCTGTTCCATGTAGCATTACCACGTGTACAAGTACTGAGTTTACACTGTGCTGTTTCATACACCTTTGACTCTGCTGCGAAGTTTAATTTTGTAATTTTAATTAAAACAAAATTAAATTTTCTTGTTTTAACTGTAGAGTTCTTAGCACTGTACGCCTGAAAATTGTGCCAAAAGGGTGTATCTGAAAAACACCCGGTTAAGTATTACGAAGAGTCATCAACAAAACTGCAACGCTCAACTTTAATTACCCAGCCACACAAATAGCAGGCGATGTGGAAGGAATTCAGGTCATCTGAGGGCTGGCAAGCAGAGACTGCACCTCTTCTGGAGCGGGAAGCAGCCCAAGGGGGTGTGTGGCAGGCGGGGGTCACGCTCTTTTGAAGAGTCCGTGGAAAGTCACAGGAATGTTCACCTCCACTTCGGCCCTGGCCACCTCGCTCATGTCCCTGGCGTTGAGGACCAGGAGGTAGGCGGGCTTCGGCCCCGCGCCCGGGCTCACCACCACGCTCAGCACCACCCCTGGCAGGGAGAAACACACGGCCTGGCACCTGGGGCACCACAGCCCCCCCGGTACCGCCCGGGCCTCAGTGCTGAAGTAGATGGGGAGATGGTTTATTTATTGCTCGTGCTAATTTGGGTTCTGGATGTCATCGGCGTGACAGCCTGGGCTGCTGGGGCATGGTAGCTCCTAGAGTTTGGGTTTTTTTTTTTTAAACTCAGAAATTTTTTTATTCTGAAAAGGAACTATAAAAAGCTGCTACAAGAGCTGACAGACATCACTGACTGGAATATATATCCAATTTGTCCATTTTTTTCAACATTAAGAACTAATTTATAAATTATAATTCCTCTTCTGAGGTTTAACGTGACAAGATGCCCGTTTCTGGGTGCTGGCATCCCTGTGGGGAAGGGAGGGGCCATCCTCCCTCCTGGGCGTTTGTTCTGTGTGCAGGTCAGCCACTGCAGAACACCAGAACAGCCCGGGGCAGCAGCAGGCAGGGCCTGGGGGAAGGGGGCAGAGCCCGGTGTGAACCCAGCTGTCAGAGAGTGCTTCTGCAAGGGCTCAAGGCCCAGGAAGTGAGACTGGATTAAAATGTTTCTAAAATGCACATTGCCTACTTCAGTTACAGAAAGCTTTTAAGAACAAGTTTAAACCATTTCAGTGGGACTTAATCCCCTGCACAAGCACTTTCCTGAACTGAAAGCACATAGTGTGAAATTTGGTTCTGTAAAAACTGGTGAGAGTTGGCTCTTAGCAGAGCCAAGACTTCTCCCAGCTTCATGTAATCCTGTTCAGAGAGGAGGAATTGAGGGAGTAAGTGGACACCCTCTCAGGCCAAGTGCTGCCAGGTACAGTGCTGGGCATGAGTATAACTCTGTGTCCTCAAGTGACAGAGCCTGAATTCCCTCCACCCCTGCATGAGGAGGATAGGTTAGGAAGAGAAAACACGGTTTAAATTTTACAAAGCTCTGCCACCTGGAATTCTTTAAATATTGCAGTTCCAGATGGGAAAAGGTTGGAAAATGAAGACAAGAGGTCATCTACACCTAGAGATCTTTCTCCTCCTTGGTTTTCATTTGGTCTTAATTTTCCGATTTCCCCAGAAACTTCCCACCAGCGTTAGGAGGAGCCAGGAGCTTTCCCAACCACGATGCCATGGACTCAACAGAACCAGCATTACCATCATCTTCCTCCAGGGCGTCCGGGTGGGAGACGAAGATCGGCTCCGATGGGTACGAATCCAGCTCCTGCCACACCCACGTCTCCTTTGTTTTAACGTTCAGCTTGCAAAGCTAAAGGTGGGAAAAAAACCCAAAACCCCACATCTCAGAAATATTCTTTTTTTTTTTTTTGTCCTTAAACTGAAGGCTCGTGGAAAAGACATGCCTGTTGGGTGATAGTTACCCTGTCTGGGACAAAGTGATTCAGCCCCAGCCCGTATGTATACGTGTAAGGTTTCCCACTGTATTTCTTGTAATTGATCTGTGGAAATTCAAAGGCTACAAGGGGGTGCTCGTGCCGCTGCTGGCTGAGCTTTGGGGTCACTGTCGTACCGTGGCGGGGCCCTGAGAAAATAACTTCGGGCTCCAGCCAGACGGTCTCATCGCTGCGCAAGGTCGCCGTAGCCGTCGTGTAGGGCAGGGTGACCAAGTTTTTGCCCGTGTCAGCCTGGGACAAAGAAGTATACCCAAGAGAAACGGAGAAACAGATTTTCTAGTTTGCAGAGATCTGTTGCAAACTGCATTGAACAGCACAGGCAGAGCCTTGTCGAGCTGCAGGATGGCGGCTGCTGCTGTGCCCCGAGCAGCAGTGCAGGAAGCATCTGCTGCTGAAACCGTGCTGGTGTCGGCCCCCCTGGGCTCCTAAAGACACCTGGGGAGTGCTTTAGGCTGGGAGGGACCTCAAAGCCCACCCAGTGCCACCCCCTGCCCCGGGTAGGGCCACCTTCCCCCAGCCCAGGGTGCCCAAAGCCCCGTCCAACCTGGCCTTGAACCCTGCCAGGGAGGGGGCAGCCACAGCTTCTCTGGGCAGCCTGGGCCAGGGCCTCACCCCCCTCACAGGGGAGAATTTCTGCCCCAGATCTCATCTAAATCTCCCCTTGTCCCTCATCCTGTCCCTCTGCCCCTGATCCAGAGTCCCTCCCCCCTTTCCTGCAGCCCCTTTCAGCCCTGGGGGGCCGCTCTAAGGTCTCCCCAGAGCCTTCTCTCCTCCAGCTGAACCCCCCAACTCTCCCAGCCTGTCCTCACAGGGGGTGCTCCAGCCCCCCCAGCATCTCCGTGGCCTCCTCTGGCCCCGCTGGAGCAGGATCCGTGTCCTGCTGTTGGTGCCCCAGAGCTGGACCCAGCCCTGCAGGGGGGTCCTCCCAGAATTAACACAGAACAGCTAAAGAAAATAAAAAGCTCCTCCAAAGACCCACACTCTAGGGCCCCCCCCCTCCACTAAAATGTTTAATTTGAATGAAGCAGGGTCCGGCAGGGCTGTAGCACTACTCAGCCACAAGCCCTGCAGAGGGGAGGAGCAGGCACCAGCAGCTCTGAGCCTCCCGGTACCTTGTCGATGGTGAGGGGCAGCACGTATCTGCGGGCTTCGGGCTGCGGGGCCTTCTCTGCCTGCTGCTTCACCTCATCCCAGTTGGCTCGTAAGTTGGCTAAGTAGAGGTAATTGTAAACAAACTCAAACCTGCACAAAAACAGCATCACAGACAGAAACGCAGATGGCATTTGCAAGTGCCAGGGTCACACACAGCTGTTTTTTTACAAAAATTCAGTGCGGACGAGTCTTGGTCCATCTCCTCAGCAGAGGAGGGACCCAGCAACTGGTCGTGTTCACCCCGAGCACCCCGCGGCAGCAGCCGGGATCTCAGCCCAGGCTGCACAGCCAACGCGGGGCTGGGCACCGCCATTTCCATGCCACATTTCTCTGTTTATGCAAAAAGCAGCGTTCAAACCTCAACCAGATCCTGCTCATCGCAGCCCTGGGGGCCAAAATCCCATCAGCCCTCCAGCAGTCACTAAACTTATTAGAGATAAAAATCATTTTTTTCTCGGAAAATTAGTTTTAAACAGGCACTCTGTGCCTCTGGATAACTTGCACACTCTCTATTCTGCACGTCATCATGTCTTAATGCTTAAGTGGGTCAAGGGAGACGGTGTGAGTGCTGAGGCAATTCACCCGGGGGAAGGGCCTCACCCCTTCCAGGTGCAGAGGTCGACAATCAGAAACCCGTTATCTTCGTAGGTGTTGATGTGGTGGAAGAGGTTGAAGGCCGAGGTGCGATATTTGATGTTGAGGAGCCTGCCTTTCTTCTTCTCTGCCACGTGAAGCCAGACCTGAAAAGCAAACAGCAGCTGGATTTGGGCTCGGAGAAATGAAGGTGACAGCAGTAGGATGGCCCAGTACGGCCCAGTTTGATACTTCACCCCCATGGTTTCGTTGGACTCGAAGCAGTCCATGTAGTTGGCTCCCCAAAGGCTCCAGGAGGAGAGGAACTTGAGGAGGTTGATTTTCACCGGCGTTTCAACAAACACTATGTAGTTCGAGGTCAGCCCAAAGCTGTTTGGAAGCACACGGGGAGCAGATCAAGCTCACTGGAGTTAGCAGGGACAACCCCCCCCCCAGTCAGCCGACCACCCCCCCGCCATGTTACCTATGAACGTAGGAGGGCTTAAACCTGTCGCTGCACGGGAACTGCACCACCACCTCCGACCGGTTCATCGGGTCTTCTTTGTCTGCAACGGGACAGGCACGGGGTGATGGAGGGTTTCACCCACCTTAGTCTGTATTTATAGTCTTTACCCAGCAAGTTTCTGCCTTTAACCCAAAGGAAGTTCATGATTTAGAAACCACGCTGAAGTGTTTTAAAGAGAACGTTTCTGTTACTCAAAAAAAGGCCAATAAAACCTAACGATTAAAAAAAACAACCCAAAAATGTAATTTGATGACAAAACTTGTTCTAAGGATAAAAAAAAAAAAAAAAAGATTTATAAGGCAAGATTTTCTCCATTTGCCCAGAGGTGGGATTAACTGACCTGCCTGAAGCGGAGGAATCCGTATGATGTTATAAGCGAGTGAAAAATTTTTCCCAAAGCAATTGCCAATGTTATAAACCGTCCCGTCGTTTTCAACGTGGGGGTGAGCCGTTGCCCCGTTGACGGACACGTATTTACAGAGATCCACCTGAGAGGCAAGATGGAGAAAGTCAGGAGCTTTCTTGGCAGGAGGTGGGAAATGACCAGCTCTGCAAGGCGACGCGGGTCAGTACATCCTCGCTTCAGGCACAGACGTTCTTCTCTAAGCCCAAATCACCGTCTTGTGAAAAGGAGAAGAGCAGCAGGATGGTCAGGTGAACTGACACGGTTACAGGGAGAAGTCTGGGATCCTGGGGTGCAAAAGAAAGGGCTCCGCAGGCTGGATGTTGGTGACACAGCAAAGAAAAGCCTTCAGACATGAATTCTGTGCTGTACAGTTCGTCGGGGTAAACATGGCTCGGCTCCAATGTAGCAAACCTCTGGCAGGAGCCCTCCGGCCACGGTCCCCTTCGGCCAGGCCGTTGTCTACCTCCAGTTTGCAAACCCCAACCCACGCAGGAGGATACAGACCCTGTCACCTCCTTATTAAATACTATGCGGAGCAGCAGCAGCGGGTTCATTTACAAGCTCATCATGACTCTGCTCTCATTAACCCTCACAGCTTTGTTTCAGTGTCCCTGATAGACCCCAACCCTTGCCGTGCTGGAAGAGGCTGTTATTAAACATTTTCATTTTAGTTTTACTCCTCCATCTATTTAGAAGCACAGTACAAAGACCCACCTGCTTAATTGTCTCTAATGTGTCTGGGTTAATTTTGGTTATGAAGTTGGTCTCAGTACAGGCATAGTAATCTTCACCAACGGGGTAGACGTTAACGAGGGCGTTATCAGTGACCTCCACACCTTTGAAGTACGAGAAAAACCTGAGCAGAAGAAAATGGACAGGGAGTCAGGGGCTTCTTGGGTGTGGAAGGGCCGTAGGACATCACTGCAATGCCTACACGACCCCGAGGTACCTGGAAAAGATGTTCTTGCACGGGTCTGGGTACGCGTAGGTGCCAAATTCCGTGATCACAATCCGTTTCTCGGTCATTGCTCTCACATAAGCATCAGTCCTGACAAACCTGGGAAAGGCAAGAAGGCACAGTGCAGGCATTAGCCAGAAAAAAAAGTGACGGGCTGTGTAAATACAACAGGAATATTCTTGTAATGAGCCTCACGAGACCACCGAAAGCTGCAGCCTCTCCACAGCCTCACGATGCAACTGGAGCGTGTGGGGTGCAGCAACCGCTGCCCACTCCGCAGCCGTGGGACAGGCTGGCTGGCAGGGAGCTGGACCCCATAGGAAATAGGGGCTTTGCTTAAATATTCCACATCAACCACCCGAGAGCTGACAGCTCAGCAGCTTCCAACTGAAAACACATCCCAGGTTTCAAACGACGTCATTCCGTCGCTGATGGCAGCTACATCCACCCCTCCCGGCCCTCTTCTTCCAGATGTGCTGCAATCTGGACAAAAAGCTGCCTTTCTGCTAACTGTGAGGAAGTTTTAGTTATTTTCGGTTGGTTTCAGTGATCGCACCATTAAAACTCTTCCAATAACTGCATGAAATAACCAGCACCTCCCATGTGCTGGGCAGCAGAGCCTGAACCCAGCACTTAGAGCCAAGCAAACGCTTTGGTATTTATTCTTTTTTGCTTGGAAAGTTGCCGCGTACCTTCGGTGATAAGTAACGTGCCCGTCCTTGAAGTCGAACTTGTGGAGGAGTGCCTGGCCATCAAAGAGGTGATAGAAGGGCTCTGCACCCACCTCGAACAAGCCGGGCCCACATCGCAGCAGGCTTCCTCGCAGCCAGGTGGGAATCCTGCCTGCGGAAGACGCGGCGTTGGCACGCGCACGGCCCTCGGCAAATCAGACCAAGGAATTTTGATTGTGTCAACAGAAAGAACAAAACTTCAAAATATATTTTTTTTAAATGTTTTAAATTTGGGTTATAAATACGCATGAGCTCTTGAAACTATCCTTTCTTCTTCGTCTACAGACCGACCAAAGATCACAGGCTGGTTTGGGTGGAAGGGACCTTAAGACCTACCCAGTGCCACCCCCTGCCCCGGGTAGGGCCACCTTCCCCCAGCCCAGGGTGCCCAAAGCCCCGTCCAACCTGGCCTTGAGCCCTGCCAGGGAGGGGGCAGCCACAGCTTCTCTGGGCAGCCTGTGCCAGGGCCTCACCCCCCGCACAGGGGAGAATTTCTGCCTTAGATTCATCTAAATCTCCCCTCTGTCAGTTTAAAACCCTTGTCCCTCGTCCTACACCCCCTGATCAAGAGTCCCCCCTAAAGACCCCCAACCAGTCTGTCCTTCCTCTCCCCCAGAATACACCAGGCCTGTCAGGTCCTTTTGCTCTGGCCCTTGTAACACCTCTGAGCTGTGGTGGCCCACGAGCTCGGCAGGGGGAGATGGGGAGCCCACACCAACCTGTGACATGGGCAGTCACCGGCGAGGACAGCTCCTCCACCGTCTCAAAGAGCTTCTTGTAGCCTCCAGCGGGATGCTCGACTCTGAAAGGGCCAGCAGACATAGGGTTAGCTGGATTTTGGGATAGCTTGGAAGCTCCCCCTGAGGGAGGGTTGGGTTTTATTTTTGTTTTTTTGTTTTTTTTTTTCTTGGATGGACTCATCTGTGACTTGGAAATAAGAGAACAGAAGGGAGAAGCACCAGCCTTTGTGGGGAAAAAGGCTCCGAGGGCTCTGACCAGCTACTGCAGCCGCTCGTGAACCATCCAGAGAAGATGGAACAGGGAATATTGACAAGACAGCCCACGCCACGGTCCTGCAGGCAAACTCCCTCACCCAGGGAATTCAGGATAATCCCAAATCATGAGGAAGGAAAATCCATCTTGTATCTCCCAGGTCTTGGGTAAGATTTTTTTTCTCCTTTTTTACTTTGAGCAAAGTGTACTGGAGCATGTGGCTCAGAATTATTTGTCAGGTTCCAATTTTATCTGCTGCAGAACCCGTGAAGACACACCAGGAATGGGGCTGTGTGGGGCACAGTCCTTCCCCTTCACCATCCCCCAGTACCTGGAGATGAACCCATTCCCCCTGGAGCAGAATCACACCACAGGATGGAGCGGCACTGACACCCCCACACAGAGACCTCCCATCCTCCTCCTCCTCCCCTCTGGACCACGCTGACCCCCAACCTCACAGGAACCCCCCCAAGCCAACGCCGCACCACAGCAATCAGCGACTCCCTCCTAAAACCCCGGGGGATACTCACTGGCTGTACATTCTCTCCCCAGGGAAGGGCCTGAGCCTCTGGCAGCCAAACGCACAGCAAGAGCCGTGCGCTGGGTATTTATGGGGCACAGAGCCCTGGGGAGGGGGAGCCCCGCTCCCGAAACCACCCCCACCAATGAGCACACCCCGGGAACAGAGAGGGCTTTCACCACCAAAATCCTCCCCGGGCTTTGAGAGGTTTTGTCTTGCCCTTCACACAAAAAGGGGCTTTGAATGTTTTTCTGAGACCTAAATTCTTCCCAAGCAGAAGTGATTACACAAAAAAAAAAAAAAAAAAAAAAAAAAAAGTGAAACAGAGTGTGCTGGAGTCACGCCGGGTGCTTGGCACGGCCGCTCGGCTCTTCACCGTCACCCCGTGCCTCAGGGAGACCTTTCCTGCTCCCCCACGGACTGAGGGCAGCGAGAAACAGCTCCTTCCCCCGAAAACACTTTACATTTGTGTAACGGAACGTTCCTCAGCCTGCCCGCCGCACGCAGAGCGGATGGCGTCGGTGCCCGGTGTTATCCCTCCTGGCTCCACGCACACCAGCCGCCAGCTCTGCCCTCCATCCCAGGCTCCTGCAGCCCAGCTCTGGGTTTCAGCACACCGGTACACACAGAGCCAGACTAAAAGCGCTGTCCCGGGGCAGGGCACCGGGGAGCAGCCTCAGCCCTGGGGGCTCGCTGCCCCCCGCCCTCCGCTTAGGGCCATCCTGCCCCCTCTCCTCCCACTCGTTTCATTTAGGGAGTTCGGGTTGCTGCATAAGGCAGATTTCTTAAGACTTAATGCCCATAAAACAGTATTTTTACACAGGGTGTTAACAGCCCTACACACTCAGAGAGACGTCAAACCTGACCATTTGTTTTACGGGCAGCACAGCAGCCGGCCCAAAGATCACTTGAAGAAACCACCTCTAGCAAGAGTAGTTGTTTATGGAAACAATGGTGCTGTAAAGAGTAATTTGAAAGATTAGGGAGATTAGAAAGATTACTGCTCTCCCCCTCACTGCAGCCCATGGCACAGGATGAAAACATTTCATAATATCACCTGCCCTTGGGTACTCCCCCCAGACAAACAGAACCTGGGCTCCAGCGATCAGAACTGTGGTGAAAGGAGAAAATTAGACATCAGGCAGCCCCCATGTTTGATCTGCTGCTACAACCATGAAGTGAAAGGTGAATGGTTGGTTTGTTTCTGTGCTGTTTGTGTTTATTTCCTCTTTACAAGATTGAGTGTTTCCTTTTGGACTGAGGGTTCATTTAAGGCTTCGAAGTGGAAATCAAGATAGCGCGTTGAGCCCGCGTGAGCTCCTCGAGTGAGGCTTCCCAGTAACCCTTCATATTAAACCACCTCAATTCTAGGGCAATTTGTCTGCGGAAGCATCATAGTGATAAATATATTCAATATAAAATTGAGTGCAAACTCAAAACCTCTTTGCAGTGCAAACACCATGGAGATTTTTAATTAATCCCAGGATAAGGACTCCAAACAGGGTTCTAAATCATCGATATCATGAAAAGTCAGTGTTTCCACAGTGACAGCACCTTCCCAGGCCCCATCCTCCTCCAGTGGCTCAGGAGGCAGAGGTCCAAAACACCCCAGGCCCACACACCACCAGCCAAGATTTCCTCCTTCTGCATCTTACCAGCACCGAGCACAATCCAGCACTGCGGACAAGAGTGGAGGCAAGAGTCAGAAGGAGGATGGCACCACGGGCAGCCTCCACTCCCACGGCTCTCCTCCCTTTTCACTTGCCCCCACACCCAGCCAGCGTCTGCCTGCCAGGACCCCGGGGGCCAGAGGGATGAGCCCGAGCAGCTGCTCAGAATCACAGAATCATCACACAACTGTTTGGGTGGAAGGGACCTTAGAGATCTTCTAGTTCCCACCCCCTGCCCCAGGCAGGGCCACCTTCCACCAGCCCAGGTTGCCCAAAGGCCCGTCCAACCTGGCCTTGAACCCTGCCAGGGAGGACAGGCTGGGAGAGTTGGGGGGTTCAGCTGGAGGAGAAAAAGCTCCGGGGAGACCTTAGAGCAGCCCCCCAGGGCTGAAAGGGGCTGTAGGAACGGGGGGAGGGATAGGACAAGGGGTGATGGTTTTAAACTGACGGAGGGGAGATTTAGATGAGCTCTAAGGCAGAAATTGTCCCCTGTGAGGGGGGTGAGGCCCTGGCACAGGCTGCCAGAGAAGCTGTGGCTGCCCCCTCCCTGGCAGGGTTCAAGGCCAGGTTGGACGGGGCTTTGGGCACCCTGGGCTGGGGGAAGGTGGCCCTGCCCGGGGCAGGGGGTGGGACTAGATCTTTAACATCCCTTCCAGCCCAAACTATTCTGTGATTCTATGCCAAATGACCTCTGAAGGTCCTTTCCCACCCAATTTACGATCCTATGATTTTCAGGCTTTCCCCCCTTCCCCTTTAAGTATTAATTTTGCAGTTCTATCTGTCTGCTGCCCACATGCAGTTAAATCTGGAGTACACAGTTGCATCATGATGCTGAGATGAGCCATTAACATTTTATCCATGTAACCTTCTGGCTGTTTTCTACCAGTTGCTGCACACCAGCCAGCGCCAGACCAGGCAAGTTCTGGTTTGACACTAATACCAAGAACAGCGTAAGACAGCATATGACCTACCAACACATTATAAATTGTAACCAATACAACCAAAAAGGAGTTGTTATTGACACTAATTAGTAAAAAAAAAAAAAAAAAAGCTGCTGCTAAACACAAATAGCAGCATCTCATCCTGCCTTCCCGTGCAGGAAAGGGAGGCAACAAGTTTCTTTACCTCCAATTGCCAGCAGAGCAGCTGGTATTGCAGATGGCCATCACAAATAATTGCTCTAAAACACTTAAGCAGAAGAGAGTTTTGGATCTGTGTATGCAAAACAGTAAGTAGATATTCAACACCCAAATAGCCTACTGTGACTGCACCCGAGCCGGCCACACGCTGAGTGAACAACTTCTCATTTGGCCAAGATTATTTATGAGACAGTGCTGGAAATCACATCTCTGCTAAACTTTTTTTTAAATGAATTTACGTCCCTTTCAAATGAATTAAAATAGTCAAACTAATACAAAGGTTTTAAGAAAGCCTAAGGAAGTTTATTATGAGCTTGACTCTTGCCTAATAAAAGCAGCCCGTATGGTTCAGTGCTGGACCCTGACAGCATTTTCTCCTCTCACGTCAGTGTCAGCAACCACGAACCCTTCCCACGGTGCCAGTTTTCAGAACAAAACTGTACTTCAGGCACTTGTGTTACCCCACGCTGTACACAAGCGACAGATTGCAGGCAACCGCCGCGTCCCTCCGGATGAACTGCTCCCCGTACAGAGTTGTAGTTTTTGCAATACAATACTCAAAGAACAAAAATATAAAAGGCTTCCAGTAAAAAGTTTCCCCTCAAGAAAAAGATAGCTCAACAAAAGGTTTAAGTGAAATTTTAAATTTGCATCTGTCATTCACTTAGAATGTTTTAATTGTCCCCTAGCTAGTCAGCTTGCCTATTTATTCACATTTCAGTTAAGTTCTGTCAAAACCTTAGAAAGGAACATTAAATAACACAGAGAAAGAACTCTGAATAACGAGGGCAGTCCTTTGAAAGCTAAATCCTAAGAAGTGTGAGCTTCTCACCTAATAAGTTGCTTAACTGAAACACAAAAATAAATAAAGCATTTACGCAACAATTAACAGATCAAGAATAATTAGAAGGAAGTTTAGGCAGGTGACGGATTATTTCAGAGTAGCTGACTGCAGGTGTTACAGAGGAAGAACATGTCACCTACTATGCAAGCCTAAAGTTATCTACAGGACATTAAAGCATTACTAATACAGGCTAAAACTGGGCTAATCTTGGTTTCTCATTTACAAAGCCTTGCTTTTCATAGGGAAAAGAGCAAAATGATATACTGCAAAACATTGTGCCAGATATTAAATTTCTGCCCTAACCCCCCACTCCTCTAAAGCTAACATAAGACTAATTTGGTGTGTGTGTATGTATATATATATGAATATATATATGATGCAGAATGCAAAAGTATTTTTAACCTCTTTTTTCCAAGGGAGGAGAACCTGAGAGAACTGAAGTGCGGGCTCATGAATGCAACCATAGCAGTTATATACTAAAATGTCAAATATAAAAGCAAAAATCCTCCACCAAGACCTTTGTTCCTAACACCAAAGTACCCTAAGACAGCGTACCGACCTGTACCAGACTACCAGGGAGCCTCCCCGAAAGATGCCAAAAAACCCAAATCAAACCCAAACCAGGTCAAAGATGAATAGTTGAGATTTGGCTTGGTTTTAATGTTGATGATGGGTTTTATGACAATTACTGTAAGAGTCTGCATGTGCAAGCACAGTGCCAATTCAGTTTCTTGTCCTAGGAATGGGCAAGGCCTGACAAAGCATAAGGGCTGTGCCTACGCTGCGCAGCCCAGCACAGAGGTAACTGAACAAGGCAACAGGCAGCCAGACAGCTCACACAAAGGGAGAACATTCATCTATAAATATGATTCTATAAAGTACAAAACTGCTTAATAAAAAACCCCAAACCCTAAAGCAAAAACAAAGTTGGACTTCAAATGTACCTCCTCCTGCAGTCCAGTGCTGGCAGCGCAGCCCTTCCACTTCCCTGCTAACACAGCCAAAACAAGAAGATAGTTTAAGATTATCTAGAAGCAATATTCCAACTGAAATTTAACACTGACACAAACTGCTTGCAACCAAACCCAATTCTGACAGCGTTCCAAACACAGAATGGTCTCAGTGGATGGCACGTTACTGGCTGTGGTTGATAGGAGCTTAAGGAAACCTTTAACTGCAGAGCAGCCTGGAAGCATCCCGCAGCCATGGCCCTGCTGTTGGCTTTGGCCGTGTGAGGGACAGGTCACAGCGTGGACTGTGGCCCTCACAAGTGACCAACATGCCAACAGTGAACATTCAAGACCCTGAATTGCATTTATATACACACAGATAACAAATTCCAGTGCAAACAACACTTACACGAAGGAGATACAGGTTGTTCCTCACTCCTTGTTTTTCATATATTCCAATGCTGTGCCAAAGTAACGCGAGAATTTACAGAA